CACTTTTAGGAAATTTTCATTTTGTACGTAATTCTTTTTTTTTATTTGGTTTTTTTAGTTGATTTGGTTTGTATTTCATCCTGTTGTTAAGTCACTTTGAGAATTATTATTTTTTGTATAAAGTGGCAAACAAAGGCAGTACAATCAATCATGCTGTCATGCCATCACAAGAAGCCTGGCTGTGTACCTCTGGCAGATCGAACTTTCCAGTCATCACAATGTCTCCAAAGGTGGAAATGAATGCTATGGTGCTGAAATCTGTTCTTCAGTTTCTTGGACCATTTTTGCATTCATGAAGGAGGCTTCTGTTTTTCCACCTCATTCTCAGGACACTTTAAAATTTCTTTATAATTTGGTGGGGGTGGGGTTGAGCTTGTCTTGATTTTGCGAGAGTGATGTGTACATTTTTCTTCCCATTAAACATTCCTCCCCTGCCATGTAGCCTCCTTGTTTGTCTGTGCTTTGAAAAAAAACAATAACACACCAGTTACCTCATGAGGTTTTTCCCTGTACAGTGGTACCTCAGGTTACATACGCTTCAGGTTACATGCACTGTTCTTAACCTGAAGCACCACTTTAGCTAATGGGGCCTCCTGCTGCCGCCGTGCCACCACCACACGATTTCTGTTCTCATCCTGAAGCAAAGTTCTTAACCTGAAGCACTATTTTTGGGTTAGGGGAGTCTGTAACCTGAAGCGTATGTAACCTGAAGCGTATGTAACCCGAGGTACCACTGTACTGACATGTTTCTTCTGAAATCTCTTAATTCCTAATGCCAGCATTGCTATATCTAGAGGAGTGAGAGCCATTTCACCTTAGGGGGCTACACTATTTTAATTGCATTCCATTTCTATTTAAAAAGACAATTACAAAAATTGCACTGTGGTATGGGTGGAGATTGGATACAACTGTTACTTAACTGATCTTTCTTATGATATAGAACTGCAATAATGGCAATGAAGGCAAAACATCTTGCTTAAGCTCAGGATTGAGACATTAGGTTATGACAAACATTAATAACTTAAATGAAAAACTGGGCAACTTATATTCTAAATGTAAATCATGGTAGCCTAAACATTATCTATAGCAAAACAGTAACTTCATGGATTTTAGCTGGATTAATATATATACATATCTAATTTTGATCTGCCCATGCTTTCTTGGTTGTTTCAAAAGTATCCTATCATTTCTGCAGATTTTTTTTGAGGGGTGGGGTTTGTAGCACTGCCGCATGTTGCATCCTAGAGCTAAAGCTTCCATGTTGATCAATGGAACAATATAAAGTTTAGGGTAGGACTTGCTTCAGTTTTGCATTTATTGCTTTTTTGGTGGGTTCATGCACCTGATGAAATGGATTGTGCCATAATGCATGTGTTAGTCTTTAAGGCACCAAAAGGCTTTTTGTTCTTTCTCTTGCAACAGGCTAACACAGTTACCCCTCTGGAAATGGTTGCCTAACATTGTTCAAGTCCTTCATTGTTTCCTGAATTCTTAGCTTTTTTTTTTTATTAAAAAAAGAGGGGGAATAGTTGCTTCCACTGACCAGTAAATTCCAATAATGTTCTTGTACTGGAGCTCTACTGTGGCAAACACAAAATGGGAACTGGCTGGATTGTGGCAATGCAGCAGCCCTTGTATGTGACCGTACTTTGCTGGAATAGGTCTCATTGTAGAGTACAATTACACTCTCTTTTTCAACATTTCTTTTAGAGGAACAATTTCTGACCAGCGATTGGTTGTTGGGTACACATTTTCCTTAGCTTGGATCAATAGGTTCATTTACAAAAACCAAATTCTGTGGGATTCATAGGAGCTTAATTTCCTATTTTGTCTGTTGGTGAACCTAAAACACCTCTAAATTATTTCCCTTTCTGGAACTTATCATGTAAGCAAAGATTACCTGGAATTCATTGCATAGTCAAAGTTTCCATGTTTTTTGGATCTGTTTCTTTAATAATATAAAAACTTAGTTTCTTTCTGAACAGGTATGACATTTAGGAAATAATTCCACTGACTTGATAACATGTTAACTAAGACCCAAAGTAGACAACATGCTCAGAGGACTGTGATGGGATTTCTCTCGTGTGTGTGTGTGTGTGTGTGTGTGTGTGTGTGTGTTTGTTTCAGACCAACCACACAACCACGGGAGAGTGGGGGGTTGGCTATAATCAGGAGAGCAGCACTGAGGATAGGATATTTAACCTTTTCCTAGTGCCATTCTCCTGACACAAACTTTCCCTCCAAAGCTGATATCTGCCCTATGGGGCAAAACATATTGGCAGATGACAACTTTACCAAAGGTGTCATGGGTTTTGAAGATGCTCGAACACAGGACGAAAGGGAGAAACGTGCTAAGAAGAAGGCACGCTTCGCAAACCCTCACCATGATCAACACCCGCCCGGAAACCTATGTCCCCACTGTGGAAAGACGTGAGGATCCACAATTGGCCTCCACTTATGGACTCACGGATAAAACCATGTTTATGGAAGACAATCTTACTCGGCAAAGTGATTGCCAAAGAAGAAGAATATTGGCACCACAGAGGTACTAGTCTATTGCTCATTGGGCAAATAGCACTTTGTGGGGGAGTGAGTAGATTTATGTGGGGAAACTGCAGAGGGAAAGGGTTAATCATGACCTCCAGAGGCATTTCTCCATCAGAATTCTCCTCCCTGCTGCTGCTCTGAACTTTAAAATACCAACACAGGAGAGTCATGAGTATTGTCCAGTTTGGCCAATGGCCCTAACCAATGAATGCATTTTGCATCAGGTGCATAAAAGTTAGTCTTCAGTGACACCAGGCTTTCCCCCAGTTTCCAATCTGGTTATTACTTCATTTCTCTAATAATTGAATTACAATATGGTGCAACTTGATTTATTATTTCTGACAAAGCGCAAAATGTGGAGCGTTTTCCATTCGATTCATGGAACTGCTGTGCCAAATATTTGTTTACTGCTTACAGATAAGTATCACCACCAGAGTGATATTTCTGTCCTATCAAACTGTTATCAAACTGGAGCTCAGAGAACAAAGAGCACTTTCACCACTTGGGTTTGTTTTGTTTTATTTTTGGCCAACATTTACTGTGTGCTTTCTGGGAGGGAGTCCTATGATATGCAGAGAGGGAGAATGTCTGATGAGAGGAGTTTCATTTAGCTAACTCTACTCCAGGCTTATCTTTGGGCAGGGTCCCTTCCTTCCCACATGGTAAAGTTGGATGTCTTTGAACTACAAGCGTTGTGATGTGTATCCCAGCTGTGTTTAATGTCCAAGAAGCATGCAGAGTGAGTTTATATGCTGGGCCTTGGGGAATGTGCTTAATGTCAATTCCTCACACCATCTGGCCATTGGTTGGCAGATAGCGCTGGATGCTGCTAATGCAAGTGCAAGTGATACAACAAAGATTCATCATTGGACCACAACCCAACACATGGCCAGACATTCAGAGTATTTTTTTTAAAAAAAAAAATCAATGTATTTAACCTTGAAGTGATCATAAAACCACATTACTTGCAAATATGTGCCTTCAGGTTTAACAACTGTTGTCATTTTCCTCCCAGATGTAACTTAATAAGAAGTCGGCAGTGTATCCAAGGAATGTGAAAACGCTCATTCTGGCCAAAAAGATGCACTTGCCATATGATCGCCCTGAACCAGACAATTTTTATTTATTTGACAAGCCAACAGGCCCAGATAGGATTGATTCAGAATGAGTAAAGTTTTACGACAAAGTGCCCATTGCCTTAATTAAATAATACCCATCTGCACATGAAGCCTAGCCCTCTGGTTTTGGATAAAACCATGCTCGAGGAATTGATAGATCTGGCAGGATGAAATCTAAGAATTTCAACACTGCATGAAGTAAAATAATTCTGAAACAGATCTTTCAGACACTGACTTCCTACAATGCTTCCGTTTATGCATTAATTTATTTAAATCTCTAAGGCTCAAGTTGGGCATACATATCAATATAGATTGTTGTTGTTTAGTCGTTTCCAACTCTTCGTGACCCCATGGACCAGAGCACGCCAGGCACTCCTGTCTTCTACTGCCTCCCACAGTTTGGTCAAACTCATGCTGGTAGCTTCGAGAACACTATCCAACCATCTCATCCTCTGTCGTCCCCTTCTCCTTGTGTCCTCAATCTTTCCCAACATCAGGGTCTTTTCCAGGGAGTCTTCTCTTCTCATGAGGTGGCCAAAGTATTGGAGCCTCAGCTTCACGATCTGTCCTTCCAGTGAGCACTCAGGGCTGATTTCCTTAAGAATGGATAGGTTTGTTCTTCTTGCAGTCCATGGGACTCCCAAGAGTCTCCTCCAGCACCATAATTCAAAAGCATCAATTCTTTGGCAATCAGCCTTCTTTATGGTCCAGCTCTTACTTCCATACATCACTATAATATGGATTAATAATACACAAATTTCCAGGACACACAGGGCAATTCTATATCTCCTTACTGCTCCAAGATATAAATCCTGATATAACATATTCAGTTGCCAGATATTGTGCTGCTATGATTGACATATGTCAGAGGATGGTACGTGCCACACAGCAGATCTAAAACTGAAGGATTGGTTTACATGTTTTATGTGTTTTTATCTTATGCTGGTCTATGACCGTAATAAAGATTTGGATTGGATAGTGTGTTTACAGTAGAATTTGCAGTATTAACCATTGGTTGATTTAACATCTTTTATCAACCAGTGGTTAATATTGTGGTTGCTAATTCCTAAATGTGAACCCTGAGTCCATTTTAGATGTTGCTTAAAGTGGGGCTTTGTTGGTGGTCCTTACAATGATTAACATAAGTATATTAGAAATGGTATTTGTGGTTTGTTGAAGTCCATTTGCATTAAGTGACACAGTATAACAACAACAACAACAACATCAGCAACAACAAAACATAGCTGATTTATCTACCTTGAAGTCTGGTTTCCCAGTTTTTTTGATGTTCTGATTTCACCTTTTGTTGTTTCCTTAAACGGTTAAGGGGGGGGAGGGAATCAGATGCTGAGTTGCTACATTAAAGCAATGTGCTTTAAATATAACTTTGATCCTCCACAAAACCAACAAGCTTGTTTGCTAATCATTTAAGATACCTTTACTCAGGATTAAACAGATCAGTCCATTCTCAGCCCATGTCAGCGTTCTATGTCTTCATTCAAAGTCCATTCTGTCCCATTTCCAAATTAATCTGTGGATTTTAAAAATAAACATTTGATACATATTTGAATATGTATTTTTGAATGTATTTTCTCACAAAACATACATTTATAGACATTTTCTCTCAAACTACACATTTCTGAATGTATTTCCTCCTAAAATACTTGTTTTGGTATGTTGCTTGAGCTCAGGACTCCATTTGCAAGATTCAGAGTAGTGAAAAACTTGAAGAGATAATTACATTCTGGCACATGTTGGTCCAGAAGATGCAGATCATGTCAATTCACATTGGAATTCGTGAAGAACAAATTTCTCAAGAATCCCTTGGCCAGACTACAGCTTATGCTTAATGTGTAACATGTAGCTACATTACTTGATTTGCTTTAATTCATTAATTACAGCCCCTGGTGAGACTTGACATAATCACAATGTGATGATTAGCACAATTAGCAGTATTAAGCTTGTATATGGGTGAGGGTTGAGCCACAAAGCTGGGCCATGTCCAAAGACCAGCAGTGAGGCTTAGGCAATGAGGAGCAAGGCGGCAGTGAGGCGAGAGAAAAGCAAGATTAAAGTAAGTGCAATAGCCTCTTACAAAAGATGGAGGCTCTTCTCTTAGTATGAAAGCTGTACGTTTCTCTCAGAAAAAGCTCTAATATCATTATTTTGTTTGTGAACTGCCCCCACGTGTAGTGGAGAGTGACATTTTTTAAAAAACCAATCAATAAAGACAATAAGGTAAATCCCTGAAAACTCGAGCCAGGGCAAGGAGAAACTTGTCTGAAAACCTGGAGAGCTGCTGCCCATATAGTATAGACCAGGGTTTCCCAAACTTGGGTCTCCAGCTGTTTTTGGACTACAACTCCCATCATCCCTAGCTAGCAAGACCAGTGGTCATGGATGATGGGAACTGTAGTTCAAAAACAGCTGGAGACCCAAGTTTGGGAAACTCTGGTATAGACAATAGATGGACCAATGGCCTGGTAAGGCAGCTTCCTATGTTCCTAATGTGCAAGAGAGGGGAGGGAACTATTTTTATTAAGCCTTGTAGCTGCACATCAGGGAGGGTGATTTTCAGTGGTTGTGGCTGGAGCAGGAAGGGATAAATGGCTCTTTCCTGTACACTGTGATCCGAATAATAATAAGTCTCCCTCCCATGGCTGTAATGAATTAAAAACAAACACGAGACATAGTTGAACGCTACACATCTGGCCACCATAGCTGGAAACTGGATGTGGGACTTTCGTTCTTAAACTTCATGCAAATGAAGTTTGCTGCACAAATATCACTCCAAATTACAAGTCTTTCAGTGCCCAACATTGGGATTTTCTGCGCCATTGACTGTTAACCATGACTGCTAACCATGAACACGCCTATATTTCCTTCTGGGTGTCTGATTGTTGGTAGACATACCAGAGAGTTTAAGCACGGCTATTTGAGCCAAGCCCAGTCTGGGCTGCCTCCTCTGCAGTCACAAGCGCATCTAATGCAGAATGACAGGGGCTGTTGTGCTGAGTCAGCCATCTGGTTTATCAGTCTCGGTACGGGTTCTTGGGATGGTGCCCTGGCAGGCACTGCCACTCCTAATGGTGACCTCCTTTGGCCATCCCAAGTCATCAGTCACTTGGAGGCTCCCTTTTCTATGCTTTACAACTCTTTTTTTTGGATGCACTCATTCGTGCATAATTGGGGCCTGAACGAGTGCTTTTACTCAGCTAGGTTTTTAAAGATGTGCTCTTATTTAATGTGTAGAGTTAACTGTCCAAAGGCAAAAAGGCACCAATTAATTCTCAGGTGGTTTTATTCCACCTTGATGAAACGATAATTTGGTGATGGGGGAGGAGAATCTGTGATTACCAGGAATAACAAGCATAGTGGGGGGTGTCTATTGGTCCACCTGCCTAGACTTGACGTCACCACTGCCCTGGTGCACCCCTCTGCATTCAGGACCATGCCAGCACAGTACTGTCCCACTGGACCAGCGGCCCCTGGTGATGATGTCTGTTCCCTTGTTACTCCAGAGCAGCAGTTCTCAACCTGTCGGTCCCCAGATGTTGTTGGACTACAACTCCCATCATCCCTGAGCTCTGGCCTTGCTAGCTAGGGGTGATGGGAGTTGTAGTTCGATAACATCTGGGGACCCACAGGTTGAGAAAGGCTGCTTTAGAGATAAACAGTACGAGGAACTGGATAGCTCAGTTGGTTACAGCATGGTGTTGATAACACCAACATACCCTCTAACATTTCGCTGATGAAAATAGGGACGTCTCATTCCATAATGATAATTTCACCATTTATACCCCACACATCTTAGTGAGTTGCCACAGCCTCTCTGGGCAGCTTCCAACATATGTAAAAATATAATAAAACATTTTTTTTTAAAAAAACAAACCCTTTCCCTATACAGGTTTGCCTTCAGATGGCTTGGGGGTCAGATAACTCCATATCGTCAAGTGAAAACAGAGACACCCTACCATACCCTCCAACATTTCTGCAGTGAAAATATGGACATTCTAAGGGGAAATGGGACATTCCGGGATCAAATCAGAAACCGGGATGGCTTCTCTAAATATGGGACAGCTATATATTTCTGCATTGCAGGGGGTTGGACTAGATGATCCTCAGGGTCTCTTCCAATTTACAGTTCTATGAGTAAGAATACAATGGCAAATCATATTGCCTAAATTGCCCATTTGATGTCATCCCGGATGCATGGGTCCTGCTTATCTATAAGCAGCTCCTGCCTAGTGGAATAACATTTAAACAGTGTGGGTGGCGTCCTATCATGCAGAGCTTTCCCATGTGATTGGGTGCCTTTTTCTAGCCTCTCCTCAATTGGGCAACATGACCACTGGTGCTTTCTATGTGAAGTTGCCAAAAGGGTTATTTGGGAAATAAGCTGCAATCAGTGGGGGAAGTGGGATATTTGTTTTGGACTCCATATTTTTGCATTTCCTTCTTTTGTTATTTCATTTTTAATGTGTTGTTGAGTTGCTTCTGAGTAAGCTTAAGATAATGAGTAGCTTGCACTAATCCAAGCAGCAGCATCAGGCGGCCATCTTAGCAGGACCACAAGCTCAGCACAAAGACACTATACTCTATCTTTTCTGGTAAAAAAGTGTTATTGTTTTTTGAAAAGTCAGCAACACAAGGAAAAGCAATTGCTCTAATTCAGTGACACATTCTTGTCAATAGTAACACAGACCACATCGCGGAACATGTGTTAGGATCTTTGGTATATTTGGCTACCTATGAATTTCTTAAAACACCATAATTTAGTTTCCTTTTAATGTTCCAACATGCTATAACGTGGGACTGAAAAAATCATTACAATTATTTACTTCACAATTTTTTGTGGATTTGCAGCCTGCATTCTCCTCAGAGGGCCTGTGTTATAAATATGTAAGAACAGCAAAACAAATTAAGTAGCAAAGCCATTTGTTAAAATAAGTTGCCGGTGTTGTTGGAGTTTATTGGATAAACAGTCTTACAAAAGGCGAATTCACGTAAATTACAAATTAATAATGCCTATTAAACCCTCATAACAGAATGAATAGTCTAAATGACTCTGAACATGCTCTTGTAAAATCTCAGGGTCAAACGAGAATAAATGGATTCTTCCTGCAATTAGGATTAGTAACAGCAGCAACAGTGGCTCTTAATCTGGTTTGGGCCCACAGCACAGGTGGGTGGGTGTTTTAACCTTTCCCTCCATGCACCATTTCTCCTGATGAAAATTATTCCCCCTAGCTGCTTTTTGCGGCCAAAAAAAAAGGTTTGAGGACAAATAACAGATGTGGGAGGCATGGTTTTCAGTGGGAAAACAGCCCAGGGGAAAGGGTTTATCCTCCTCTGTGGCTGCAAAGTGTGTGGGGGGGGGGAGTAAAAAGAGAATCCTGAGCATAGGATTCAAAAGACATGGTAAATACTGAGTGTAGTTTGACCCATACGTTCCCTCCCATCCCAGTATGAATTTTGTCTTGGTAAATAGGTTTGAGCCCTGGAGGCAGAAATCCTCTTTCATTGTACAAAACAAACATAGCAGTGAAAGCTTCCTGTACCACCCAGTCCATGCATCTATAATCCTGCCCTGGAGGAAACCACCTATGTGAGTAAGAGGGCAATCCAGTGTCTAGGCAGATAGTGCTTGGTGGATGGTCTGAGAGCACCCACTGCTGCAAAAGGTATTGAAACTAAATGGGTGTGGTCCTTACGGGTGTCTGAGTGGAGGCCGTGGAAGCCTCAAGCAAGCCATGCTGAGCTACGGAAGAGCAGAATATGATTATAATTAATGGTGCTCAGAGTATCAGCAATATTCTGGGGGTTAGTGATGGCGGTTAGGTCTATTAAATAAGGTTATACCAGTCCACCAAAAGTGAATGGAACAGCTCAGTCCCATACATTTATTTATTTAAAATATTTATACCCCAGTAGGGGCTAACAAAGATAAAATAGAAAACCACAACAAAACCTTAAAAGCAGAAACAGATAAAAGCACCAGCAGCACTGCAGAAACATGAAACGGGGTTAAAAGTGCCACAAAGAAACTACTTTTTAGCTCAACTACATCTTGTAATGCTAGACTCTACTAGAATTATCAAGTGCTGGATGGTAATTTTCACAAAAAGTGGCGATTTTCACAAAGCGATGCATAAAGCAGTTACTTGATCACCCCAATAATTTGCCAGCGCGAGAAGGGGGAAACATCTTGCCATGTTGTTCAGCATGAATATGAAGACTCCTTTATTCTAATTTAGCATTAACAGCTATAGTAAGCCAAGGCTGCTTCCTGACAAGAGGATATGGAGGTACTATGCTGAATGGTTTGATTGATGAGGTGGTGTTCAGCCTAACCTGAACAGGGTTGCAATCCCCTAGAGCAAGGGCCACAGCCCCATATGGACAACTTCCAGGGGGATGCATGCAAATGGTGGGTGAGATCAGAGGCAACAGTGGGTAGAGCAAAGGATGGGACTCTTACCTTCATACAAAAGGCTGCAGCAACAAAGTTACAGAGATTTCTACATCCACATCTCTCTCCATGCCCCATCCATGCAAACAAGGGATACTGTCACCTCCAGATGAACCTAAAACCCAGGAAGTCTTCTAAGTGGGACCGCTCATAGGAAACATATATTGCTAACTGCTCTGGCTGCTGGGCCCCATCCATCTCTGAAGAAAATTCAAAGTACTTATTTAGTTTGGAATGTGAGAACTTGAATGAGTTCATCCTCCCAGCACACAAAGACCATATTCAGAGGATCCTTCTGTAGATGCTTCTACCCATTAAAATTAAGCGATGGCAACCAGGGAGGGGCCTTATTGAATGTGGCACCCTATCACTGGAATTCTCTCCCCAGAGAAGTTCAGCTGGTGCCTTATCTTATGTTTTTTCACTGTCAGGCAAATACCCTTTATATTTTCCTCAGTTTTCTAAAAATGCCGTTTGACTGGTCTTCCTAGTGCTTATTTCACAATTTCCCTTGTTTCTGCACCTTGATTTTTGTTTGTTTGTTTGTTTGGTAGTTGGTTTTAGAGAGTTAATCATTTATTATGATTATTATTTGTGAGATGCCCTGGGAAAAGAAATATTTCAGCTGAAGGGTAGCATATGTATCTTTTAATGAAATGAAATAATGCACTAAGAAGGGAGCCCAATGTTTGACATAGTCCGATTTGCCATTTAATTCTCATATTACCTCAGGGAACCAATTAATGTGAAGATCCCACCAGAGACTGTCCAATGAATCTACATCTATTCAGCTTGGTCTCTCTGACAAGCCGTTGGCAGCCCTTTGAAAGAATAAATAAGGCAAAGGGGTGGTAAATAGCCCGTTGGCCATTAATTTGTCAAGGAAGCATACTCATGTAATTGGGGTCAAATTTGTTGCTCAGCCAAGCATTCATGAGATTCAATGAAGAGCGTAAGGAGAACTGGGAACAACATCTATTACAAAGTTTAGTTTGGCAGGCAGAACAGAGTCAAGGTCGTGAATCCCCCTCATGGGATTGCCTGGCCTGCTCCATTAGCTTACAATGACAGCTAGAATGAACGGCGGGGAATTAGGTTACAGCAAGCCAGGAGGAAATCAGTCAGGGGCAACAGTTAGTCCCTGTAGGAGAGCTGTGAGGCAGGAAACAGGAAAGGCTGGGAATCTGTTGATTCTCTGTTTTAAAGTTCCTGCTTTATGAACTCGTAGACTGATACTTTCGTGGTTCTCCTAACAGAAGCCAGCCAAAGAAGCATTTGTTTCAGAGCTTGTAGTTTATATGCTGGTATATTCTAGGTCCCTCATTGACACGCTTCCTTAGGGGCTCCTCTTTCACTGCTCGCAAAGGGATTAGGAGCTTTCTAATATTTTTAAACATTGCAGGGTAGCCAACATAGTGCCTTCCAGATGTTTTGGACTCTAACAACTCCCATCAACTCTAGCCAGCATGGCCAATAGGAATGATAATAGTCATTATCCACAACAACTGGAGAGCACCATCGTGGCTACACCTGATATACTGTACTGACACATTGCTGTTTTGTAGAATTGACCTATAAGCAATTCATCTGAAGCATGAAAACATGTGCACTAAATGGAAAGGGGTCAAGACGACACAGATAAAATACAGGAGAAGTTAATCCGGTAATGACCGTGAGCACTGCACTCTGATTAGAGCTGGCCATTAGCAGAGCTTGCTCACTATCTGCCTTTTGCCGATGGCAGGAATGAGCCAGAGGTGAAATACGACTCGGAGCTGCCAAAATACTTGTGTGAAATTGCGCAACTCAACCCACCTGCAGTCTCTTGAAGCGTAGATCAAGGATTATGTTTTCATCTCTCATTTGCAAAATAAATAAACTTGCAAGAAGAAACTATTTATTCAAATGATGGCATGGGAACTAAAACTCAGTGCCAACTCCATTTGTAATCTCTTCCTTCTCTCCCCCACTCCACACTGATCATAGCTGTCAACGTTTCCCCAATGTGGGGCTCGAACCCACAACCTTGAGATTAAGAGTCTCATGCTCAACCAACTGAGCTATCCCTCGAGATATCCTATCTTGTATCCTATAATACATTATATTTATGGAGAAAAATAACTGTTGCTGTCATGGTTTATTGGTGCTGTGTTCTAATATAAAATGGAGCCTCAGGAGAGAGAGCTACAGAAAACTCCTGCATGAGGAATTGGCAAACTACTGCAAGTCAGGGTAGTCACTACCAGAGAAGAGTAACCACGGGTCTCACACAGAGCATGACATTTTATATTTATGAGTCACTGCGGTACCCTTTGAACAGCATCCCTAAGCCATATTCTCCCCCATGTCCCCATAACTCAAGTCCCTGGTAAACTGTAGAACCTAGTCACTAGTCACTAGTAAACTACAGAACCTTTCACACGTTACACTGAATGCAAAAACAATAAACAGTAATAGTAGTAGTAGTAGTAGCAGCAGCAGTAGTTATTCCCTGCCCATCTGGCTAGATTTGCTCAGCCACTCTGGGCATCTTAGAGCACATATAAAAACAGAGTAAAACATCAAACATCAAAAACTTCCTGATACAGGACTGCCTTTAGATGTCTTCTAAAAGTTCTGTATCTCCTTGATGCTCACCCTTGTGCTTTATAAATGTTAATGAAAACGACAGTAGTAGTAGCAGCAGCAGTAGCTTTCTCATTGTTGATACATTCATTCTCAGAATATTTATGATTGAATATATACATCTTCAACTCCAGTCCTAAACGCAATTAGTAAGCCCCGTTTAACACAGTGGGATTTGCTTCTGAGTAAACAGATGCATGATCATACCTAACATGTATTTTAGCCTAATATGAATATCTAAAAACCAATAGCAACACTAACAACAACAACAACAAAAATTATAATTATACTTATTTTATTTGTACCCAACCCATCTGACTAGGTAGCCCCAGCCACACTGGTTGGTTTCCAACATATATAAAAACATAATAAAACATTAAACATAGTGCATTTGGGCATGAGAGTACAGTTATTACTGCCTGAAACTGCACTTTGGTTATTCCAAAGGAATTCCAGTACTTTTTCATGTGGTGACTGGTTCTGTGTTGGAAAGTGGATTTAGAACCAAACCCTGCACTATCTTCCTCACTTCATTTTGCACTTCTGCTTCTGCAAAATGAGCTCAGATTGATTGCTCACATTTTGTATATGAAATAACCTTTGGTATTTAGGCTATGCAGTCCTGGGCCCCACTTGTTTCTGGGCTGTCAGCATCAGTTGTCAGCAGTTATAACATAGCCATTCCTGACTACTTTCTGTGCTGTTCTTAAAAACTGTAAATACGTGTGCCGTCCAATATTTGTTGATATATAGGGTAATAAAGATGGTGAAACGGTGGCCAACGGTTTGACCTTGTTGAAAAGGGATATAGATACTGCAAGAACTGGAGTTGACTAATTAAAGTCACTCTTCTAGCAGCTAAGTCTGGAGAGCCACCACATACAGTGGTGCCTCGCAAGACGAAATTAATTCGTTCCGCGAGTTTTTTCGTCTAGCGAATTTTTCGTCTTGCGAAGCACGAAATCCCATAGGAATGCATTGAAATTCAATTAATGCGTTCCTATGGTCAAAAAAAGTCCAAACAAAGCCAAATTTGGTACAACAAGAGTTTATTAAGTGCTCTTTAAAGTCGCACATACTGTAAAGAGCATTTCAAAAAACTGAAGGAACAATAAATTAAGTTTCTAAACATGACAGAAAAACATTTAAAAATCAACAAAGTGTACAGTACATTTTCTAAGACTCTGGGGGACAACTCGAAGAAGGTTCCTGTTCCACTCTTTGCTTCTTGCTGAAGAACCTGTCCATGGTCTGCTGCTTCATCCGCCTTTTCAGCATCTCCCTGAAAGGCGACATGACCCTTGTATCAAAAGTGTTCGCAAGGTCATGTGCCACGTGCTTGTCAGGGTGGTGCCGCTGTGCAAAAGCCTGCACATCCTTCCACTTCAGGCAAATGTCCCTCAGTTCTTTGGAGGACAACCGTTCCTCAGAACTGGCAGCCTCTCCATGCCTGACCACGCTGTGGATTCCAGATCTTGTCTTGAACCGGTCAAACCAGCCTCTGCTTGCCTTGAAGACTTCTGGCTCGCCTGAGGTTCCTGGCTGTTCCCGGATGAGGTCTGCGTACAAGGCCTTGGCCTTCTCACAAATGACGGCCTCAGTCACTGTGTCCCCTGCACGCTGCTTCTCTTCTAACCAGATGAGCAGCAACTTCTCCACCTCCTCCAGAACAGCTGGGCGGTTCTTCACGATTCTGGTGACTCCTTTGGCTGCATCAGTCGCAAGGATCTTCTCCCTCATCTTCAGGATGGTCTCGATGGTCGATGGATTCCTCCCGTACTCCCTGGCGAGGTCTGTCACATGCATTCCACCGTCGTGCTTCCAGATGATCTCCTTCTTCATTTCCAGCGTAACCTTCTCCTTCTTCCCCTCGCCGGCCTCTGCAGCAGCAGTCTTCTTGGGTCCCATGGCAGCACAGCTCCTACCTGCGCAAACCCCCCCCCCAAAATCAGTGCTTCACATCCAAAAAATTCAAAAGCACCCAGCCACCCACCACACAGAAATTCAAACCCAGAACCAAGTCCTTGAATTCCAAACACCCCAACCCAAAATCCAAAAACCCCAAAAAAAGTTTTAAAAGTTTAACTTACCGAATGGCTGCAAAAGAAGTTTTGGAAAAGCTTCAAAAATCACCAGAGTCTTCAAAAACCTCAACTATTCCCCCAGCCACCCACCACACAGAAATTGCAAACCCCTCCCCAACTGTTGCAAACCCCTCCCCAACTGTTCCCCCAGTCACCCACCACACAGAAATTCAAACCCAGAATTTTTTTTTAAAAAAAACAGCAGAGTGGTCCAATGGTCACAGAAAATCATAAAAATGCAGAAAAAAACCACACAAGCTTCCAGATTCTTGCAAACCCCTCCCCAACTGTTCCCCCAGCCACCCACCACACAGAAATTCAAATCCAGATTTTTTTTAAAAAAAACAGCAGAGTGGCCCAATGGTCACAAAAAATCGTCTAGCGAGTTTTTCGTCTTGCGAGGCATTCGCCTTGCGGGGCACCACTGTACTTTATGAAATTATGTGTTCCTTTGAGAATTCACCACATACACACACAGAATTCGAATCTAAGTATTCCAGTATACTTTGAGCTTTACAAAAAGACCAGATGATAGACTGATTAGACAACTATGATCTAAATAAAAGAAACAAACAAAAAATGGGTTCATATCCAACTGAAAGAGAAACCAATGGACCCAGTTTTCTTTTCTTCACTAAGAAGAGATCGGAATTCACTAAGAAGAAAACACTTAGAAATATTTCCTGAAACACAGAGAGAAAATTATGCGGGTTTCTGGGAAATGGTACTTCTCCAGACATCATTGTACATCTTGGAGTGCATCTCTCTCTCTCTGTTGAAGTGTATGCAGTGCTCTCTGCTGGCGAGCACTCAAACATTGTCACTGACAGTTTAAGACCTATGTATACTCTGACTGAATAACTTGCTAGGTGTTTCACTGAAATTTTCATTATTCTATTTATCGAATTTGGTTTCTTGCTTAGGCAAGGCATGAGCTGTGAATTAGGGACTCTGTGAGGGCAATCCATTCAGGAATGTTCAATTTATATTCCATATTTGTGATATTTGATACTCTGATAACCTGTACATTTCATAGTTGTATAGAAGACTACAACCCCAGCCTGACCTATTCTGCATAGCACTAAGTACAATGTTCTCCCCAATCTCCTCCCCCCCCAAAATCTGTTTTGGGGGCTCCTCCAACCCTCCAGAGCACATTTGGGGATGGCGCTGGGCACACATGGAGGGAGGAGAGGGGGAAATCTTTCTGCACTAGCAATAATCCTTGCACTCACACAGCTATTCAACACCTGCTTTTTGCTCCTTTTGTGAGAATTATGAAATGCTCTCTCAAGGCTCCTGAAAGTCCTGTAGGCACTTTTCTAGGGTTGCCATATTTCAAAAAGTAAAAATGAGGACAGCCCAAAAGTTGTTGAGCTTTCTCAGTTTACTTGCCGAAGATCCAGGACAAACCACCGCCTTCCATCTTTGAAATCCCGGTAATGTCCTGGAAGATCTGGACGTATGGCAGCCCTAACTTTTCTTCATTCCCAGAATAAAAAGCATGAGGCCTGGATAGCTCAGTTGGTTAGAGGATGGTGCTGATAAGGCCAAGGTTACAGGTTCAATCACTCTATGGGACAGCTGCATATTCCTACATTGCAGGAGGTTGATATGATCCTTAGGGTCCCTTCCAATTCTACAATACAGTGGTACCTCGGGTTACATACACTTCAGGTTACATATGCTTCAGGTTACAGACTCCTCTAACCCAGAAATTGTATTTCGGGTTAAGAACTTTGCTTCAGGATGAGAACAAAAATCGTGCTCTGGTGGCGCAGCGGCAGCAGGAGGCCCCATTATCTAAAGTTGTGTTGTTGTTTTTTATTATAAATATTTATTAAGGTTTTCACAATATTACAAAATGAAAAAAGAAAAAGAAGAAAAAATACAAAATAAAAATAGTTAAAAACAATTCAATCTTTCTATCACTTATCTTTCATTTGCTTGTTTCCCGGACCTCCTCATACCTCCCTTTTTTGTATTCCAGTTCAATTTATTAGTTCAGCAATTCCTTTCCCTCCTTAATTTATCCTGATCTTTAATCTTAATATATTATAATATTAAATTTTTACCTGTTAAAAATCAATTTTTTCATATTCTTTTATACCATTACAGCTAGAAACCACTTAACTTCAATCCAACATCATTCTAGCATTCATTAATTTTGCAGTATTTCTGTAAATAGTCTTTAAATTTCTTCCAATCTTCTTCCACCGACTCTTCTCCCTGGTCTCGGATTCTGCCAGTCATTTCCGCCAATTCCATGTAGTCCATCACCTACATCTGCCATTCTTCCAGAGTGGGTAGGTCTTGTGTCTTCCAATACTTTGCAATAAGTATTCTTGCTGCTGTTGTGGCATACATAAAGAAAGTTCTATCCTTCTTTGGCACCAATTGGCCGACTATGTCCAGGAGAAAGGCCTCTGGTTTCTTCAAGAAGGTATATTTAAATACTTTTTTCAATTCATTATAGATCATCTCCCAGAAAGCCTTAATCCTTGGGCACGTCCACCAGAGGTGAAAGAATGTACCTTCAGTTTCTTTACATTTCCAACATTTATTATCGGGCAAGTGATAGATTTTTGCAAGCTTGACTGGGGTCATGTACCACCTGTATATCATTTTCATAATATTCTCTCTTAAGGCATTGCATGCCGTAAACTTCATACCTGTGGTCCATAACTGTTCCCAGTCAGCCATCATTATGTTATGTCCAATATCTTGTGCCCATTTAATCATAGCAGATTTCACCATTTCATCCTGAGTATTCCATTTCAACAGCAAGTTATACATCTTTGACAAAATCTTAGTTTTGGGTTCTAACAATTCTGTTTCTAATTTTGATTTTTCCACCTGGAAGCCGATTTTCTTGTCCAAATTATATGCCTCCATTATCTGATAATAATGAAGCCAGTCTCGCACTTTGTTTTTTAATTTCTCAAAACTCTGCAGTTTCAGTCTAAAGTTGTGTTTCAGGTTAAGAACAGTTTCAGGTGAAGAACGGACCTCCGGAACAAATTAAGTACTTAATCCGAGGTACCACTGTACTATGATTCTTTGATTCTAGGAACTACTTGAGGGCCATCCGATCCTAGGGTGCCAAAGTGATGCAGCTGCACTCATGAAGCATTTCACACAACGATAATCAGAGTCGTAACAACTGCCAAACCTGCCTCTGCCTAACTGATGAAGACGGAATCAGAAACTCCTGTTCATGCTCATCTCAGGTCTTTTCTGTATTATTAAGTACCTGAAAAAAGTCAAAGAAATGTGATCCTTCCATCAAAATAGAGCCTCTCAGAGCTAGCTCAAAGACTACATTTCTCAGAGAAAGTACCCTCTGTGCAAGCTGGGCATGTTTTTCTAGGTCAATCAATCCATTTGAATCTGGCGTCAAGAGAATAAGACTGTAGACAAAGAGGGATGAAATGGGGAAAAATACTAATCAAAGTCTGAGATTCCTGAGAGCAGCTGCTTTGCTCCTGACATTCCTTAGCCACAGTGTGGATTTCAATGGGCCTTTAAAATAGCCAGTTAATTATCATTGTAGATGTGTAGTTAAGGGGAAGGCTTTTGAAAATATGCTGCTATTGTTGTACACGTGGGTCAAGCCAGGGCAGGTTTGGGCTGATCTCTGACTCTTAGGGTTAAATGTTTGCCCTGGTCAGCACAGCGGGGGGCGAAAGACATTGAGAGAGGCAATAGACTTGTGTCTGGTATGAGCTCCATTCCATTTCTCCCCACCCGACTCCTGGCATGCTGAGCCACAGCAAGGAAGAGCATAGTTTGGTCTTTCTTGACATAAAATAATGTGTCAATGAAATCCACTTAATGGACACACAAGACTAACTCCCCTCATTCTAATAATTGCCAGAGTGCAAATTCTTTTACAAAATGTCTTTGAATAGCTTTTTCTTTTAAAATCACACCTAGTTGAAAAGTGGCATAGAATTCTAAACAATTAATTAAAAATTATCGTAATCATATCTGGTTTTAGAGCATAGCAAATCAATCTTAAGCAGCTTTACCCAGAAGTAAGTCTCACTGAGTTCAGTGGGATTTACTGTTTAGAAAGGGCTTTTAGGATGATATTACTGGTTGGTCAGCTTTCCAGAGAGTTCATTAAGTTGATTAACATGTCTCTAGCTTTGTCCACTCAGCGAAAACAATGGTCTGAACTTGAACCTATTCATGTCATGGTAGCTTTTTATGAAATACCATTGGCAGCCTTAGGCAAAACTGATTTTGTGTTGTAGCATAACAGTAGCATCACTTCTGGCTAGGATGAACGAATCTGACATTTCCCGGTTTTTCAGTTTCTCATTTTTCCAGTCTTAAATTCACTTCTCCACATTTTCACATCAGATTATATTTTTTAAATATAATAAATTCATCATGAAAATGCATCAGCATTTTAATGCAGTTTCTCCAAATACACTCAGGTTTGTATACAATTTTGCCTACTATACACATATTTGCAAAGAAATTTCCCCTGAAATAATGCATCTTTGTATGTTATTTGCACTAACATATGCATTTCTACACACGCTTTACCCCAGTATATGCATTTTGTACACATTACTTGGCTAGAGAGCTGCGGTGTAAAATTCAGAGAAGTGTGAATCTCAAAGGACGGCTGTGTTTTTGGTTATTATACTGTTTCAGAAAGTACAAGTTAGATGAATTCATCTTTAAATGTGAACAGAAACAAATTCCACCCCCATCCCAACCCTGTTCTTTGGAATAGTGTGCAATGCAAGTTCCTATCAAGATAAATGATAAAGGGTCAGAGTAAAAAGCAGGGGAAATAACGCAAAACTGGAGGAAATGTTAGGACAGAGTTAGATTTCAAGATAAAGAGATGGCAGGAATCAAATCTGCCTGGAAAAATGTTCCTCTAATCTGGAAGACTAAATTCCTCTTCATGTGTTCTAAATATGAGCTGAGTAAACACACAATGGTGGGGGTGGGGGCACTTGGGATAAGCACACGAGCTCTATCCCATCACCATTCAACTCACCTTTGATAAGTTGGATGGTGAACCTGTTAAGTGGAGAGGCTCTTATATTCATGGAGCCTCCCTGTGCATTTCAGAACGCTGGGAAATCAGTGTTCTAAAATGTGCAGAGTGATTCCACAAGTACAGAAGGCTCCCTGCTTCGTATGTTTGCCCTCCAATTCATGCATGGTGACCATATAACACTCGTCCTGAAAGATCTTCATTGGCTCCCAGTACGTTTCTGAGCACAATTCAAAGTGTTGGTGCTCACCTTTAAAGCCCCAAATGGTCTCGGCCCAGTATACCTGAAGGAGTGTCTCCATCCCTATCATTCAGCCTGGACACTGAGGTCCAGCTCTGAGGACCTTCTGGCAGTTCCCTCACTGCGAGAAGAGAGGTTACAGGGAAACAGGCAGAGGGCCTTCTTGGCAGTGGCGCCTGCCCTGTGGAATGCCCTCCCAGCAGATGTCAAGGCAATAAACAACTATTTTACTTTTAAAAGACAACTGAAGGCAGCCCTGTTTAGGGAAGTTTTTAATGTCTGATGCTATATTGTTTTTAATATTCTGTTGGAAGCCACCCAGAGTGGCTTGGGAAACCCAGCCAGATGGGTGGGGTATAAATAATAAATTATTATAATATGATTATTATTATATTATAAAAAAGCAGTGGGGTGGAGCAAGCATCCTTGCCAATGCCTTGAACTTTGATGCTGCTAGTCTTGGACTTGGCTGGACTTTTAGGGCAAAGGAGACACTCAGACACATTTATGGGGGATGCCACTGCAATCACCTGTTTATGGGTCCTTGGTCATATTAACTTAGTACATGGGCAGTCACCCCAAGAAAAAAGTCCTCGCTGTAAGGTGCTTAGGGTGCAAAGTGTTAATGGCTTCTTAGCCACAATTGTTGATAAAGATTTTGTTGGATTCAGTTTAAATCTTTAGCGCCTAGATGACTGCCGAGGCATTTGATCCTACTACAACAGTATTTACCAATAAGATTTACCAAACAGTGTTTTCGTTTTTAGCAAAATCTCAACTAACTTTACAAATTGTATGGGACTCGCTTTTGCAAATTTTGTAAAATGTGTGTTGGAAAGAATTCAGTGGAAAAAGGACACCCAGAATCCTTTATAAAACCAGAAAACTATTGAATGTATTCCGTTTTCAAAGTACCGTATTTTTTGCTCTATAAGACTCACTTTTTCCCTCCTAAAAAGTAAGGGGAAATGTGTGTGCGTCTTATGGAGCGAATGCAGGCTGCACAGCTATCCCAGAAGCCAGAACAGCAAGAGGGATTGCTGCTTTCACTGCACAGCAATCCCTCTTGCTGTTCTGGCTTCTGAGATTCAGAATATATTTTTTCTTGTTTTCCTCCTCCAAAAACTAGGTGCGTCTTGTGGTCTGGTGCATCTTATAGAACGAAAAATACGGTACTAATTGAAACAAGAACTACAGTATAGTTGCTGGGACTACCAGCACCAGAAAATCCAAAACCAAGCTCTTTTTGAGGAAATGTAAATAGCTGAAACCTTTTGTCCTTGAATTCTTGGCTCAAAAAACATACCAAATGTAGTAAAAGAAAAGAAAGTATGCATTTATGATAAATGTATTTAAAAGTGCATACACTGATATATTTAAATATCTATTTAGTGATAAAATATTTACCTGTGAATTAAAAGAACTCAGATGAATGCAGAACTGGAATAGAATGGAATGGACGTATGAATGAACACATGTGAAATGGCTATGGTCCAAAGACAGACGGATCCATCCATCCATCCATCCATCTATCCATCCATAGTTTGCTCACTTAGAACTGATATCTGACGTTCATGATCTTGCCCTTCAGCACAATGCTGTGTTCTGACCTAATGCTGCTTTCACCAGTTACCAGGCCATTAACCCTACAATGTACCCAAGCCTTCTTTATAGATGAAGGCACTGAACCGCCATCCCCCTAAAGGACAACGCTGGTAGCAGAACTGCTAGCAGTGTCACCAGTTTACCATATTGGTAACTTGTGTAAGTGCCAGCTGCATGCAGATAGGTGTGTGTAAAAGGTCTCCTTTCCTGAATAGAATGTCTGATTTTCCCAGCTGTGAACAGCTTGGAACACTTGTTGAAAGGAGGGGTGAAGGTAGGATGGCTCGGTTCCAAGTAAAAAAAACAACCAATGATCTGTGCAGAGAAACCACTTAATCACTGCATTTTGGAGAATTTCAATGAATACACTTTTCTCACTTCTGCATGATCCTAAGTAAGTTTTCATCTTAAAAAAGTATTCCGGTAGTCTCAACATTCAAGACGCTTTTGAAGTTTAGTTTGGTATTTTTTTAATGAATGTAGAACGAAATGAGGACTTGAGGGGAAGGGAAAGCTTGCAATAGCTTATCTTACCTACGTAAATAAAACAGTCCAGTCATATTTATTTTGAGTTTTGGGTGAAGGTTCACATGGAAGTGTTTCACCCAGCTGTTCAACAAAGCTAACTGCTTATCATGTGATTTTGTAGAATAAGGGTGTTGGACAGAACCATCGGGCCAAGATGAAAGGCCCAACAGGAACTGTTCTCGTTTATCTAATGGGTTTGCCCAATTAGATAGCTCCAAGGATTAGGCTATGAGGTAGCTGTGATGGTCACTCGGCTGCATCAAAGACTCTTTTATTTTAGTTCACACTACTGACTTTCTCCACACAATAATGTTTCTAGGAACATGATCACAGTGCAGCTATGATCACAGTGGTATTCTACCGTTTAGTTCACATTAACTTTTTTACAGCATACAAAACTGTGAATAAATTAAGTGCTGGGAAATTGAATTCAGTGTTGCATACTTCTAGGTAAGTGGGGTCAGGACTGCAGCCTTATTTGAGAGAAAGTCTATTCCATTTGTTCCTAAATTACCATCAATAGGGATCAGGATGTGAGGGGTTTTTTCACACTATCTCTTTGGGGTTGCCATCTGTTCACTGTTTTATTTTTACAAAGAAATCAGACAATGTCAATGCCATCCTGTTGCATTACAGTGTTTTTTGTGCTGTGTTCTCACCTGATTTGTTATTAACATTTTAATTCAATTCAGCAAGGATTGGCTATTAGAAGCATCCTCTCTGCTACTTCTGCTCTTTTTATTGCTTTCTTTGCAGCATTACTGATAGTTAGCTTTTTGCTGCACCTTCATTGGTCAGTTCCTGTTCTGAGGGTTGGGCATGGCTCCGTGGAACTAATAGCTGGGCCAGGCAGGCCCATTTAAGTTGGAAAAATGGCCTGCAAGGAAAAAATTGAAGATACCTTACCACAAGTATTACTTTGATCAAATTAGTAGTTTCCTATGGCAGTAAAAACAAACAAACAGGAGATCATGAATTGACTGTGTCAAGATATCAAGTTTGGTGCTTGCTGTGGCAGTTCTAATCAGCAGAAATTACTTTGAAAAATTGTCTTTTAATTATAGGGTCTCTGAATAAAGTAAAATCTGGCAATGATAGCTTGTTACTTTTAAAATTATAGGATTAAAACTTTTAACTGATACCTGTCAGTTCATACCTTTTATTTCTTTTGAATCTCTTTGTTTTGGCCATCTGACATGTCATTATTTGCTAACCTGACTGAATTAAGCATTATCTGCAAACTTGGAAATCTCTGCTTTCTATCCCACTGCATAAATTATATTTCCATAAATATTTCAGTGCTGGAATCTAAAACACAGACTCCTGTCATACCCTGCTGCTACGTTTTTCACTTTGAATACTTTCCATTCATAACCTTTCTACATTTCCTGTCCATTAAGCCAAATTAGTATTCAAGCATATATTTTTCATTTTGTGCCATCCCTTTGGAGACAAGCGATGGAGGCCAACAGTCATGAATTGGGTAGGGATAATTCACATTTCCTGTTGTGCTTATGACAAAATGTACTCTGAGAGAACTCTACCTGTGGGCAACTAAAGACTTGAGAAATACCTCTTCTCTAAAACAAAGTTCATTATGTTCATAACTGTTATGCTTAATAAGACCTCCTCGTTACTATATCTAACAACAACAATAACATTTCTGACACTATTTTCTCTCTCTTGTACATCCCTTGAAGAGTACAATCTGCTCCCTTGCCAGCAGTGAAACTTTCCTTTCTTCTGCCCTGACCCCAACCTCTTAATTTCAACTGCATAATTTCTAGGAAAACAGGTATGGGGCTCAAAGCTGTCTAGAAACACCACCTTCTAATCTGGAAGCCTTTCCCCTGTTCCATAATGTGTGGGTGATCTTTAGTTACCCAGCAGGAGTAATTCACTCCACGTCTGCTTTGGGGACATGCTCTTCTATTTTTACTTCCCTTGTTCAGCGATGAGTCCTTCCATTGAAAGTAGATGCCAAGGCTAAGTCTAAATGAGTCCAGAATCCCCACTACTCCCACCACCATGGAGGGGTCTCTTTGGAGCGCCTTTACAGGTTCACGACAACTGTTCCACACACTAATTCCACCTCATGTGATCTCTAACAAACAGTGCTTCATTTCTACCACAACGTACCAAGTCATAGCCCCTGGCATCTGTTTTCAATGGCAAAGCTTAGTTCAGGAAAATGTGATTCAATAATAGACTAAAGCAGCCTTCCCCAACTTGGTGCCCTCCTGATGTTTTGAAGTTCAGCTCCCAGTATCTCTGACCATTAGCCATGCTGACTGGCACTCATGGATATTGTAGTCCAAAACATCTGGGCATCACCAGTATTCCACTTACTGGAATACCAGTAAGCTAAATGGAACTTACTTCTAAATAGATATGAATTGGATTGTGCAATTAAAAATTTCCTGTGCTTAAAAAAAGAAGAGGATAGACACACACACAACCTTTCATTGATTTCAAATGCTATCTTCAGCCAGGGTTCTTGGCCTTGGTGGTTTTTGACAGCTGGTGGCTACTGGATCCTTCCCCACCTGCTTGGGTTGAGAGGAACAGTTGGTGTTTGAACTGCAGACAGCGAAAGGTCAGAAGTCTTACTTTTGCAGCTAGTTGGAAAGAAAAAGGGAGCAGGGTATTTAAAGGTATGATGTGCGGTAGGGGCAGGTTATACTTTAAAACTGTCTGGATGGCTGCCTCTGTGCATACCTCTGTCCCCCACCCCCCTGGAATCAACTTGTAGAGTTGTAAAATTATTGATATTATAAGACTGTTAGTATCCAGGACTCTTTCTTCAAAAATGACTCTCTTAAAAGCTGCCTTTTGAACTTCCTAATGCTCAGGGAAGTGGAGAAGCATGGAACAATACGATTGTGTCTCTATGGATGTCAAAACTCTGGATGCAGCTGTACATTTAGACTATAAAGGTAACTTTCTGTAAGGCTGTGATGAGATTAATTTAATATCCTGTTGCTCCAAATGCTCTCTAAGGGTGCTCTTGGATTAGATTTCTTTAATAAAGGAGCCATTCAAAATAAACAACATGACCTCACCCCAATACAGTCTGAAACTTACCGTAAACGGAAATTCCACAAAACCATAATGAGAAACACACTTCAACAGATGGAAGATTGCGGATGAAGAGTGCGATCTCATTTGGATAAGACTCTGTACCCCAAAGGATTTCCCAGATACTTTACATTGCATTTCTCGTTATGTTCAAAACTGATCTGTTTGAAATTAATGGAAAGAAAATCCCACTGCAGGCTGTTAGCTGTGCTTTTATATTTGTTTGCTACATTATGGTAAAAAGAAAAGGAAACACACCCATGAAGTGTAGATTTCTTTTCTACACCTGCAGTGTGCATGCTCTTGTATTTCTCATTCCATTTCCATGTACACTGTGGTGACCTCCTTGAGACAAGAGAAAGATTATAGCTTTTCATAGTTGACGTGGTTGGGACACCATTGCCTCTAGGTCTGATATACTCTCCTCCTATTGTTTCTGCAACGCAGAAATCGCACTGCTTTGTAGCGTTTAAAAAATGGGCAAAACCTGTATGGCCAGGATGATTGCAAAGTAACTGATAGTTTGCATTGTGAGAAACGAACATTTCCAGAGTCCTCTGGAAGAAACCGTAAAGCTTTTGGGACTGAATCTCACCTATGTCACATTTTTGGCCATTGAGATATGGATTCGTTTTCTTCATTTGCTGATTTTTCCTACTGGTGAAATGCAGTTTCTGAGGACTGTGAGTATATTCTTTTCAGAAGCCAGATACAGAGCTTAGTATAGTCATGAGAAATCTGTGGCCCTCCACATGTTGTTTGACTCCAACTCCCATCAGCCAGTATGGGCAATGGCCAAGATAGGGGCAGTTCCACTCCAACAACATTTGGGGAGGCCACATCCCTGGCCTAGTGGGTGGCTAAACTGGCAAATATGCCTTATATGGCCTTCATAATGTGAAACATTTAATATTTTTATTGAGACAGTTCCCAGATGACTAGTGTTAGTAAGAATTTATATCCCATAGTGTTCTTTTTAATAGATACAGTTCAACATAAAGCTTCTATTCTCTCACCATGATGAGACTGTTTAGTTTTAAACAGAAGTTAATCATCAAAAAAAAATTCATTGTATAAACATTTCTCAATATTCCCTTTTAGAGTTTGTTATGGCTCACACTCTGGGATTACTTTTCCTCCCACTTTAAATCTCTTAGCAATCTAAAAAGGAAGTTTCCCTTTCCCCCTCTTAAACTCATTGTCACCATATTTTAACATGATGACTCACTGCTGTCCTCTTGGATTCCCTAAGCTCTAATGGTATCAAAATCCTGTCTGTGAGCAAATTTACTTAATGTTGGGCTGACATCACCTCTGTTACATTTTTATGTTCACTGACATTACACAGGACATGTTTTATTTAGATCATTCATTTCTTATGCACTACACTCATCTCGCCTTTGTTCTCTGCAAAACTTTAATTCTACTTAAAACACTTCTTATCCCTTCGTCTTTGCAAATGCAATTCAGAAGCGGGCCACACATTAAAGTAAGTCTACAGAGTTCGTACAACTAAAAGCAAGGTGGACAGTTACAACCAACTAGGCAGAACTTACAGCAACATTGGCACTGAAGTCCACCAGAAGCCTGTGTGAATCACCATGTCTTCAGCTGGCATCGAAAGGTCAAATGAGTGCATGCCAGCCATATCTCAAAGCTGGGGTATTATAGTCATGGAGGCTCTTCTCCACATGGTCATATAGCAGACTAAGGATGGCACAGCTATAAGAACCTCCCCATTCTCTCAGGTGTCCAGGCCCCAAGTTGTTTAGGACTTGCCAAGTGGGCCGGAGTGCATATTGGGAGCCAATTGACTTTCTGATGCATGAACAGTCTCATGATTCTTGTGAGAATCCAGAACACCCCTGAAGTTTGTGAAAACCATGACTGACAGTTCAATTAAAGCGGGAAGGCAGAAACAATGCATCACTTCTCAGCAGGGCCAGCCCTACCATGAGGCAAAGTGAGGTAGCCACCTCAGGTGGAGCAGCACAAGATTTTGGAGGACAGGCTGAATGTGCTCTATGATCTGCCCTGAACCCCCTAAGACCTTCAGGGGTGGTAAAGAAGGCTATCCCACCACAGGGTTGATGCAACTGCCAATCTGGTCCACATCTGTGTATGGAATGAGAGGGCGCCATTTTGTTCTTTGCTTCAGGCAGCAAAATGTCTTGATATAGTTCTGCTTCCTAGTATCAAAGGTAATCCCTCCAAAATAGGCTGCAGGCAGCAAAATGGGCTCCTTTCTCTTTTCAAGGTCATTCTTCACTTACACCTCCATATGTTATACATACTTTTAAACCCAGAAACTCTGCTCTTGGAGAGAGCACAGTTGCCTAACCCTACTTAGGAAAGGCTTTCTTCATTGGCAAAACACCATTCCTATGCTTATTATGAGATGGGAACCTATTTCGGATGATTAAAAAAGAAATAAAGATCTGAAGACACCCAGGTTGTCCAGATCAGATCTGAGGGATGTGGTGGTATAGAACAGCTTAGTAATGCTGTTAAATAAATAATATACTATATGCTGGTCTTTGTGTTCTAACTGAAAAGTCCTGCTATACTGTCTTGACATATCACTTCCTCCCCCGTGAACTTGTTGACTAGAAGCTTTCTACTCTCAATATAACAGAGATATAAATGTTTCTGGGAGATATAAATGAAACAAAATACATGTCCCAGAGACATGCCTCAGAAAGAGTAACTGGGTTGATAACAGATCTGTCTTTATTAAAGTTTTTAAATATGATTTGCTTTTGTCCCTTTCCCTTTTGTCCCTTTCAAAAGTGGAAAGTGAGTGGGGGAAATCGATGACCAAGGACAGTGTAGGTTGGAAGGCAAGGAGAAGAACTGAGCGATGGGTGAAGCTGGTGCCACCCTTGGCTCAGTAACAGAAAGCTGGGAGAAGCCTTTGAAGAATTTTTACGCAGGGAGCTTCAAACATTTTCAACCCAGCTAGCCACTAGACTATGCCCAGATAAAACTTAAAGTATGATAATAGAGAAGAAAGAATAAGGATATTGAAGTTGCCCATCGACAGAAGCTGGACAGCAGACTGAGCAGGCATCCAGTTCACTGTACTCCCCACCATGCTGATAAGCATTTCAATTTCAGTTCCAGTAATCATTTCTAAATTTTCCAGCCACATATATTAAGTAGCATGTGCAAATGTTATGCAAATCTGTGTCCTCTTTTTTTTGGTGATGCATTTTCTCTTTGTTTTGGCAATGCATAACTGGCCACCCTAAATGAACCAGTCATAGTGTGCAGTTGGCCATTAGAGTTTGTGTTTATTTGTTTGTTTAAAATCCTGGAAGCCTCAAATACTCAGCAGAATTTTTGAGGCCATGCAGTGTCAGCTTTCACTTCTCAGCACTGCTGTTTTTCTGTAAAGGTTCACTGCTGACATTTTTACCTTGAAACAAAAGCGTAACACCTTGGTAAAAGAAGCTGCTGGCATAAAACAAGTAAAATTATCTTGAGCTGCTTTCTTTTACATTCATTTGAAAGAACGGCATAATGTAATTCCAATTCTGTTTTGGGACATTCCTTAAGGTTGGAATGCGTATCTTCTCAGTAAACTGCAAAAATATCAAAAAGTTTTTAAAAACTGAGAACAAGACATTGGTATGAGGGTGCTTTGTGCTGTTTGGACATCTGAGATATGTGGTATGCTCATGTTACTTTAGCCAACCACATAATCAAACAGTGATCCATTGTGATAGACCATAGAGAACAGACTTGAATTTCATTCACAGTTGTCCTTCTGTGGCATATCAAATCCACATGTTTTCTTAAAATGAAAAGTAAATCCTTTCTACTGCAAGACCCAAGTCAAGGCCAGCCCTACCATTAGCTGGGGCAAGGCAGCCACCTCAGGTATCTGATTTTGAGTGTCATAAAAGGGCAGCAAATGCTTAGTTACTTAATTGTTTTGTATTACTGCCCATTACAGGACGGTTGTTCTTGAATAATACTGTGGACCGAGATTTGGGAGGGAAGGGAAGGAGATTCCATTTATTCCTCTGCCTCAAGCAGCAAAATGTCTTGTTTCTATCCCTCATGAAAACCCATCAGCATTTTAGTGCATATTTTTCTTAATAAATACATTTTTGTATGCAGTTTTGTCTAACATACACATTTTTGCAAAACAATTTCCCCCAATGTAATACAATTTGTACATTTTGTTCACTATCATATGCATTTTTATGCACATGTTGCTTTGGCACACACATTTTTGTATACATTACTTGGCTGCAGCATTTAAAAAAAAATGAAGACATGGAAATTTCAACAGATAACTGTATTTCAATATGCATATTGTTTTGGAAAGTGTGGAACTGGTAGGTTTGTCTTTAAATGCAAAATGAGTCAGATTCCTCCCCCATCCCTAGGTGACACATGGACTGTGCTCTTCAGAAATCTGGTTACTTTCTCATTTGGGATTTTTAAAGATCCTGGAATGAACTCATTTTTAACCAGATCACTCCCCTCCATCCTCTCCTTGCTCACCCCCACACCTTTCCATCTTCCTGCTGTATGATGTTCCCCCTATGGAACCCTCTTCTTTGCTAAGCTCAGCTGTGACTCCTCAATCAAGCATTCTACTTCAAGTGTTCATTATCTGACTCAGAAATGCATCTGTGCTTAGCAGTTTGCTGGTTAAGACATATTGTACAGCTGCACTAGTATCTGGCTTCAAATCCAAACCAAAGGACAACACATGTTTACTAAAACCTTCTGTCTCAAATTTTGTTACTACCGCATTGTGACCGCAGGCAACTCCCAAATTTCACAGTAAACTATTATGTGCCTTCTCATAACTTGAGAGTTATCATTTCAAAAGACAAGCCCCAACTCTATGTAAACCATTTAGAGCAGTGCTTTTCAAACTAACAAATGTGGTGGACCAGCAATTCCTGCTCCCCATCATCACCACCATGTGCCAGGAACTCATACAATATTTAGTTCCTGAAGCATCCCACCAGACCTGGATTGTGGTAGATTTACCAGGGACCTTCAGCCAATGGCTTGCAGACTGGCACTGGTTTGTGGACCACCACTTTGGGTATCACTGATTTAGAGGGTCCCCCCCTGAAAAGTGGTATATTTGTCAAACAAACATTTTAAAGTAAAATAAATACAGAAGTTAGATTTTTCTCCTGTTTTACTTTAACAAATGCTCTCTGGAATTCTCGTGACGATCTGTATCTGTGATAATCCAAACACCATCAGGAAATAATTAATGCTATCCTTGGATTGTATAGCCATTGCAGATTAATATCTGGAGGAAAATGTGATACCTGAGATATATATATTGCTGAACCAATCTGAACAAACTCAGTATCAGGAACATACAAAATACATTTCTGGATAGACTTTATGTATTGATTAATTTGGGGGGGGCAGAGAGAGATACTTCATTTACATGCAGTGCAGGGAAGGAGAGAGACAGAAAAAGGAGCACTCTTGGAAGATGGCAGAAAAAGAAACAATAAGGGGTAGCCCCACTCACTCACCCCACACACTGCTGGCCCACAGTGAGTGTGAGGCCCTTGACCAGGGGTCCCCAAACTAAGGCCCGCGGGCCGGATAAGGCCCGAGGGACTCGTTTATCCGGCCCACGGCAACCCCCGCCGCCCACTCTTACCAGCGCTGCCCACTTCCGGGTTGGAAGACCACTGGAAATAGCTTGTGCACATGCGCAAGCGTTATTTCTGGTGCACATCCGGGTCAGAGGAGGCCCGTGCACATGCACACAAGCTATTTCCGGTGCTCCTCCAATCTGGAAGTGTGCAGGAAATAGCGTGTGCACATGCGTATGGGCACGCGCTCCCCCGCCCTCCAGCCCACCACGCGATCAGCGTTGGAGACAGCGGCCCAAGGCGCAGTACGTTTGCTGACGCCTGCCCTTGACAGATTACCTGCAAGCAAATGTAGCTCTTTACATAAAAAAAAAGGCTGCCCACCTGCCCTTTGGCAATTGCAGCTTTATGTCAAGCAAATTAGGTTTTTTTGTGCAAGTTGAACCTCTGGAGTATTGGAAGACTTTATGGTTTGGAAAGGAGGTGGAGCTTCTAATGAATGGAAGTCAGACTTGACTCTTCCTTCTGCCTTCTCTCACACAGATAAGGCATTATAGGACATGGGCCTTCGATTCTGATCTCCAAGAGCAATACAAACCACTCTTGAGCAAATGCAAGAGTGGAAAGTCCAGTTCTCTTGATTCAAGTGGCATAGAAGGGATGTTCTGATGTAGGTAATGAAGCACACTTTTACCAGCATTTATTTGCATCATTAGTCTTCTTAACAGAGACTTTTATGACTGGACACATGCTTTACCAAATAAATTATGTTTTAGGACACATGAAGATGATTTAAGGGGTATACCTAAGCATGCAGTATGTGAATGTGATAACATTTGTAAATATGGACCATACACACAGACTCTTCAGGAAGCCACCACTGGCTTCAGCTTTGTTCAGGATACAGTCGATAGCAAACCTCCATAAAATGGCCCATAGGTTAAATCTGAACGATATATTCAAATAGCTCTAGAAAACTTTATGGACATGCTTGCAAGGGAGGTTTAATTGCGCCTTTCTGGTGATGTGTTGATTCACTTCATTTAATTCACTGTTGAAACGACATAAATCCAGTCATCTGCTCCTGAAATGAAATTAAATTTGGAACTGCATCCTGAGCCCGGATGCAGTTTTGCTCTCTGAGGTAACTGGTTTGTCCCTAGGAATGCTTGGCCATGCTTTCCATTTGCTGTCATCATCCTACACACACTTCCCTTTAAAAAAAGCTAGAACTCCACAGTTGTACATTCCAACTAATTATTTTGTAGTTATGTCTCTTCATTGAGAATTCTACAATGAACACTGAACAGTTTCTTTCCTCTGTAAATCAAGCCACTGGTTTTTTACAAAGGTTCATTCATTTTGTTCATTTATTGCTAAATTAATACTTGTGTTTAAAGTAAGAAACAGAAAGCTACAGCAGGACATTCCCCAATCTGCAATTCCCTCTTCAAGTAGGTGTCAGGTTGGATTGTAGCCTGACCTGATTATGTACTGCAACTTTCCCAAATCAGGAGTGGCACAGCATCAGAGTCCAACTTATCTTTTTTTGAAAAAGACTGGAATGCTTCTCTTTACTTTATTTCAGTTCCCTTACAACCTCTTATAGGGGAAACCTGAAAACAAGGCTGTTCCTGTACAAAGACGAACTTTTGAACTTTTTGTGTTCCAAAAACCATCTTCACTGATATTCATTAATATAAATAGTAACTTCTGACTTGCAAAAGCAGTTTTTCAATAAACTACTTTCACTGCTTTCCATATGTTTTATCTTATGCTGGTCTGTGACCGAAATAAAGTTTGATACTGATACTGATAAAATACTTTCAAAATATAATTCTTTTGACATTAAATAGAATTAGCAGATAAGTCTGCTGATTGCCTTTGTTTCTCAGCCCCTTGTTTACTCTCAATCCATTTTTAGTAAAAACAGCAAGCCTCCTTAAAAAGCAAATTAAGAACCTTGATGTATAGCTGCAGGGTATTTCTTGTTGCAAATCATATTCCAGATTAGGTTAAGAGTTATGAAGGTAAACCTATTTTCTCCCTTTCTTTCATCTCTTCTACGCAAACCTAGGTTAGGCAGATGCTCTGTGTTGCACAATATTTGGGAACTGATCTCTAAACACTGAAGGTAGCTTGCGTCAACATTAAAAGCCTGATAGGTCCCGGCTGTGTATATGTTCCCCTAATGCGTAGTGAGCAGTTCTGGTTTGTGTTTAAATTCCTTCGTCTGAACTCATGCACCTATGACACTCCACTGGAAAGGATTCAGTTTCATGACTAGCGTATTGTATGGAACGTTCAGCTGTATTCAGCACAGAGAAATGTCCATAAAAGAGGGACAGGCCCCAGCTCCACGGGAGGCAGCTTGTCTGTAGGTCAGGCCCAGTCCCCGCAGGAATGGGGGCCAAAAAATGTTTGCATGTGCCAAACGTCCTGCATTTAATCATCGTACATCTGGTTGCTTTTCCGTGCCTTCTCTCCAGATAGCCAAAGTAACATTTACGAGCGCATATATACAAATTGCACTGCTTATTTTTTGCTGACCTCTCTTTTATTACTGAGGCTCATTCATTCACATCCAATGAGCAGCTGCAAAATGCCACTGATTAGCTGGGCAGTGACACTTCCAAGAGAGTTCTTTGTCTTGTTTCAAATAATACAGCTATTATCATTATTATTACCGTCATCATGATCATCATTTCTTCAATTCAGCGATGTTTCTGTAAATCTAGGCTGCCTTACAGCATTGCTGCTATCAAAGCAGTTCCCAACCTGTTTTAAAAAAATATCTGTGGGAACATTTGCAAGCCATCAAAAAAGAAAAACGGTATCTAAAATACAATAAAACGACATCTAAAAATCACCACTGCAGCAGATAGTACAGCGTCAGGTGATTATAATAATATAACTGGGAAAACAGACAGTGAAAGTAGCCCATTAAAAGACCAGACTCAGAAAACTAGCAATATAAATATCAATTAAAAGCAGCAGTTTGGAGTTTTAAAAAAGTCTTTGAAAGGAGATCAGGCCAAAGGCATATCTATTCTAGCATCCTATTTTCACAGTGGCCAACAAGCTGCATATGGGAAGTAGGGAAGCAGAACCTGAGTGCAAATACACTTCCCCGCCTTGACATTCCCAGCAATTAGTATTCAGATGCATTCTGCCTCCAGCAGCGGAAATAGCAATTATGGCCATTAGACACTGATAGCTTTATTCTCCATGAATTTGTCTAATCCTCTTTTAAAGCCATCCAATTTGGCAGTCATCTCTAGGTCTTGTGGGAAGATCTGCACTATGGGGAGAAGTACTTCCTGTTGTCTGTCCCAAATCTTCCAACATTCAGCTTCACTGGATGATCCCTGGTTCTAGTACAGGCATAGGCAAACTCGGCCCTTCAGATGTTTGGGGACTACAACTCCCATCACCCCTGACCACGGGTCCTGTTAGCTAGGGATGATGGGAGTTGTAGTCCCAAAACATCTTGAGGGCCGAGTTTGCCTATGCCTGTTGTAGTATTATGAAACTGGGGAAAACCCTTCTCTGTGTCTGCTGTCGCCACACCTTGCATAATCATGTCATGTCCCCACTTATTTACCTTTTAAAAAAACTAAAAAGCCAAAATGTTCCACTTACCGGTAACTTCATAGTGGAGATGCTCCAGTCCCTTTTGGTTGCCATTTGCTGGAAAATGTTCAGTATTCCTAGTTTGGCTGTAACATAAATGGATAAACCAGCATTATGAAATGGGCAGTTTTATTTTCAATCCTTTTGTAATGATCCCCAACGAGGAATTTGCCTTTTCACAACGGCCATGCACTGGGTTGACATCTTCATTGGGCTATTCACTATGACCCTAAGGTCTCTTTCCTGCTCAGTCACCACCAGCTCAGATCCCATTCGTGTATCTGTGAAATTAGGATTTCTTTCTCCTCCAACATGCATCACTTTACACTTACACTGGTTGCCATTTGAATGTCCATTCACTCTGTCTGGAGAAACCTATGGCAACCTCGGCTGGACTTTCTTGTAAGCACAGGAAGGTGAGAAGACTATCCACTATGTGCCTGAGAGCCCATCATGTGTTTTTTTCCAATCACATTATCTTTACCTTTCTTTAGGCCCTTAGTATCCAACCTATTTAGCTCCCCCTGCTTCTATTAAAGCTTAGGGAAAGACATCATGAGATAACTTCTCTCATGAGGCTTTTTCATATCATGAACACAAACAGTCAGCGGAGGGCGGGGCTGCAAATCACTGGAGAAACGTTTAATAAGGAGGGGAAAACCACAGGCCACCTAGCATCACTTCACGTTGGTAAAGTAAGCTAAATCTCATATATGCCAAGGTTCTAAAGAAAATGCACATTGAGAAAGAGGCAGAAAAGTAGAAGCCTCTTTTGCAGGGGAAGACATTTTTTGAGAAATGGGGGGGGGGACAAGTTTCAGCAGTTCACTACTCAAGGTAAATAAAATGGACGCAGCTAGCATGAGGAAATACTACGCAGGCATACTTTGCAATCTAGCTGCTCACCAAATGTAGGCTAATGTGTCCGTTAGAAACCACTACAAGCCTAGGGATTAATTATATCATAGCTTGCAATTTGGCAAACGGTACTGAAGAATGAAAGATTCTGCCTGTGGAAAAACAGACCTTTTCAACAAGATTTGTAATGTAGGAAAAAATGTGGCTTGGAAAATGCAAGGGCTCCCAAGCATTGTTCAGTTCAAAATATCTTCCCATCATCTGACTGCATTCTCATAAACTTTCTCCACTTAAGATCTTAGTGATTCATGTTTTATATGTTTTACAGAAAGTTATTATCCTCTAGTCCAGTGAAAACATTTGTTTTCAGTCAAGTGCCCCACTTGCTTTCTTGTTTATTTCCCTCATTCTGTTTATCGTATATGCCGGTGACCATGGATAATATCCACCACAGAGATGATCCAGAGGTGCAAGCCTGCACTATCTGTGTCCACCATAACGTTATGGAGATTCCTTCATCAATTGTCGTCATGAGAAAACTCATGAACAGACTTTCAGGTGAGGTAGAACTGCCGAAAGCAGCCCCTCCAACTGTTCACAGTAGAAAACAGAGGCACTGTTGAGCATGACGGGGAGGGGCTTGAAGCAGAAGTTGATAATTGTAGACTATTATCAACCGACACTATCCAGGCTCATATATATACCAGAAGAAGACAATGGGAAAAGATATGGCTCCATAGTGAGGTAAACTACACACCACACACTGTGTCAAATATATATACCGTATTTTTTGCTCTATAAGACTCACTTTTTCCCTCCTAAAAAGTAAGGGGAAATGTGTGTGCGTCTTATGGAGCAAATGCAGCCTGCTCAACTATCCCAGAAGCCAGAACAGCAAGAGGGATTGCTGCTTTCACTGCGCAGGGATCCCTCTTGCTGTTCTGGCTTCTGAGATTCAGAATATTTTTTTTCTTGTTTTCCTCCTCCAAAAACTAGGTGCGTCTTGTGGTCTGGTGCAAAAAATACGGTAATAAACATATACGTTTCATTTATAACATTGATCCCATTTTAAAGGCACATATATGACTAGTTACTTCTACTTTTCTGGGAGTAAGCCCCATTAAATTCAGTAGGGCTTGCTTGTGAGTAGACATACATTTGCTTTACTGAAAAACACCCCTCCCCTCATTTTCAAAGAGTACCAAACCTCCCATTTCAGCACAAGGCAGCCAGCTAACCCCCCCCCCCCCAAGGGCCCACCAAAGCCCTCATCCCATCAATATCCCCCTTTTTATCAAAGGGAAGGAAGGAGGACAAGCAAGCAAAAAGACCCCACCCTATGTTTCACTATGCTCTGTTCATTGTCTGCCCCAATACATTGCTGCTCTTGCTCAACTCATATGAGTTTTAAGAACACACACAGTCTACAAAATAAAATTTCAGGAAATTTAATAATTCAGAATTCAACACAAGCACTCCTTCAGCCCTAAACTGTCCAATGACTGACACCACAGAAATGTAACTTGTAAATAAATATACGGTACATACATGCCAACATGTGCATTCCTCATTTAGGAGAGTTAAGAGCTTTGACAAACAAATGAAGCCAAGAAGCTATCAATCTGCGTTAAAGAAATATATGCTTCTTTGCTGTAAGGTAACTCATACTGTTGTTGCCTTGCTCACATAGTCTGACATCCCTCCACATCAATCCTGAGAGGATTCCTTGCATTCCAAGGGGAAAGCTACAGATGAGAGCCATCTATTATTAACCTTTCCTTGTAACCATTATGCAATGAATGTCTATCTCTTTCTGCAAGGCTTCATCAAAGAGCATACTTTGGACTATGACATGACAGAACAGCCAATGTTCACACCATACATGGGCAACACTATTATGCAAACATAGATGTTATTCTGTCTTTGGTGCTAGGTGGGACAGGAATGTGTATAAAAAGTAAACTTTACTGTGGGAGTTCCTCGTGATGTAATGACAGTTCTTAAATTTAGTGGTTAACAGTTAATTTGTGGACTTTATTTGGACTAGATTTCACTTGACTCATTTGAAGACTCTTGAAAGTTTCCAAGTTGCTATTTATTTTTATTTCACAAGTGTAGTTTCATCACAGTTTAGATCCAAACAATGTCTAGAATTATTTTGTAAAATACATTTTTGCAAATATATCACATCTTAAATATAGGAGAAGATATAGAAGTTTCACAGTTTTATTTCTGGGTTTATTTACAATTTTAGAAGAGCGCTTCTATTCTTTTATTCTTGAAGTCTCCAAGGATCTAGAGGATAAAACTGCAACTGGCAATTCAGATCCAAGAGTAAAAATGAAACAATGACAAAGAAATAGCAGAAACAGATTTACTCTATGATTTGGGAATGTTAATGGTCAATTCAGACTGTGCTTTTCCAATTTTTTGTTTGCTTGCTTGTATGCTCTCCAAGAAGAACTATGGAGCCTTCCTTGTTCTGGGTCATTTCATGGCCTTGCTAAGAGTAATATTGTAGACTGAATCTCATTTCTGAAAAGCTGTGGAATCCCACATACAGCCTGAACTCTGGGCTGGTTAGCTCCTTGTTTGTGTGTGGGGAGATGCTTGCCCCCCTTCTGGTGCCACCTATGATGGGAGAGTATGTATGGAAGACACACCTCTTGCAGAGATTTCATTCTCTAGACCATGGAAACTGTGTGCAACTATATTCCTTCTAATTTCTAAACCTGCAAAGAAAAAATGTCCATTGTGAGGGTGGGGGAGAAGAGAGCTAGAATGCATGTTTAAAAAGGAAACTTCCAAGATTGTGTTAGACATCTTATTGCATAGTTGATAGAATAAGTTCTAGAATGAATTTTCCTAAATAACAAAGATAATTCTGTTCCCCCTTCCTTTTTCAGGCAACCTGCATCAGAATTTCATTTTCTTTGATTCAAAACAGTCATGAGGCGAATTTGGATTGGGGCTCTAGTTTGGACTTAACCCATTCCTTTCTTAATATGCTCCCTGTGGCACTCATATTTGCCTCTCTGCCAGCAAAGTTGCACCAGCTGTGAATTTAAGCCAACATGAAATGACACCAGTATATAGATCAAGGGAAGTAATAGTGCCACTGTATTCTGCTCTGGTCAGACCTCACCTGGAGTACTGTGTCCAGTTCTGGGCACCACAGTTCAAGAAGGACACTGACAAACTGGAACGTGTCCAGAGGAGGGCAACCAAAATGGTCAAAGGCCTGGAAACGATGCCTTATGAGGAAAGGCTAAGGGAGCCAGGCATGTTTAGCCTGGAGAAGAGGAGGTTAAGGGGTGATATGATAGCCATGTTCAAATATATAAAAGGATGTCACATAGCGGAGGGAGAAAGGTTGTTTTCTGCTGCTCCAGAGAAGCGGACACGGAGCAATGGATCCAAACTACAAGAAAGAAGATTCCACCTAAACATTAGGAAGAACTTCCTGACAGTAAGAGCTGTTCGACAGTGGAATTTGCTGCCAAGGAGTGTGGTGGAGTCTCCTTCTTTGGAGGTCTTTAAGCAGAGGCTTGACAACCATATGTCAGGAGTGCTCTGATGGTGTTTCCTGCTTGGCAGGGGGTTGGACTCGATGGCCCTTGTGGTCTCTTCCAACTCTATGATTCTATGATTCTATATCCTAGGGTTGCCATACGTCTGGAATTTTCTGGCCATTACCGGGATTTCAAAGGCAGAATTGACGTCTGGTTGGGGGGGGGGGGCGTTTCCAAAAGATGGCGCTAGTGGTCTGCCTGCATGGAATCCCCAGTGGTGTAGTATCTTCAAAATACACTGGCATGGAGGACTTAGAGCAAATCTAAAAATACTTCAGCCAGTATAGTTGGAGAATAAAATCGCAAAACCTTGCACTCCGGCCACACCTATGTCGCCCATATTCACCCACCCGAGCTCCCTTCATTTGAGGGGCTTCCACCGTGTAAATAAATTATATCTCAGAAAAGAAAGCTTAGGAGTGAAACAGCCCCTGCTTATCTTCATGATTTTGACTGAAGCAGGGTCAAATATTTTTGAACATAATTAATGCACTTATATAGCATTTTATTAAATACACATAATAAATATGGCAACATTCCCTTTTCTGTGACCTCAGTCCATAGTTCCCAAGGATCCCATAGTAATTTCCATAAGGAGCATACCAGGGCAGTGTGGAAAAATATTTTTAGTGGTGTTATGAAAAACAGATGGCATTTTTTAAAGTGAACTATGAAAAAAAAAAAAGAATAATTTTAACATTTTGAAACTTGGCATCTCTGCAATCCAGACTTTCCTGTGGCAAGAAAAGAAGAAGCATTCCATGGGGCTCCGTGGCACTCTGGGGAGATGCAGACAATGAACCAGGAATGGCAATGGGTGGAACGAAGGATGTGCTCATCTCAGAATGAGTTTGACTGAACATGGATGCAAGCACATCTTTCTGTCTGCAATGTGTCAGTGGTGCAGTGATAAAGGCTTATTTCTCTACCACTGTTGCATCCTCAAGTAGCCATCCAGCAAAACTTTTCTGAGAAGTGAAAGCTCTTGTGGGGGTCTTCGCAATGAAAGGAGTTGATGGTATACTTGGTAGCCTGCTGTGATGTGTGCTAGGCGATTTGAGGGTAAAAATTCTTGGATTTGTTCAGAATTAGACACTGCAGGTAGGTTTAATGGAAGTGTCCAGAGCACTGTCTGGTCCGGTGTTGTTTCAATTACTGTATCCTGATAACAAGAACAGGTTTCTTGCAGGGGTTTGGACCACCACATGCCTCTTCAACCCTTGCCCTTTGAGTTTAGAATGTTTCGTTGAAGGAGAGGGAGGTGCCATCTGCCTTGATGGAGACAATGTCCCATTCTCTCCTTTAGAGGATGTCACTGGACCCAGAAGCACCTGACAACTGGCACCTAGTTACTAATACGTCTTCCCTGGGCAAAGTGTTCAAGAAAGAGGTAGCAGAACAACTTTGGGATGATTATTTAGACCCATTTCAATCCAGTTTCGGGTCTGAATTTGAGTTTGAAACTGCTTTGGTTGACCTGTGCCAGGTGAGAGATGACAGAGGACAACCTTGTTGATTCTCCTTAATCTCTCAGCAGCTTATATAACCAACCAATCACTTCAGTCTGCAGGAGAGGGCATCTTGCAGATACTTTCTTATCAGGAGGTCCATTCCACACAACATTGGAACCAGGCCTTTAGTGGGGCAGCACCTACCCTTCGGAGCTCCCTCCTAGTATATATCAAACAGGTGTCATCTCTGTTGTCTTCTCAGTGTTTGCTGAAGACTTTCTTCTTTCAGCTAGCCATCCAGTAAGCTGAATATCATAGTTTTTCTTGGAAGCCAGCCTGCAGCAGAATGGAAACAGAGCTGCATGAAATGAAGATGAGTCAGAATGGAAATGGATGCCTTCTTACATCATTACTGGTTGGCAGCAGCCAATTTTCAGACAGGATATAGTCCCAGCCCTACCTGGAGATGCCAGAGACTGAATCTGGGAGATGCTCTACCACTGATCTGCAACCTGTTCCCTGCCGAGCAACAGAAAGTAAGTTATCTTTACACCCTTTAGTGAAGCGAGTTTAGAAAAGTATGGCGGAAACACAGTATTCTCATAAAATCATTTTAATGAGATAAAAGTGTGGTTGTGTTATCTTATAGATTTTTTTATTATCGTGTGCTTGAAAAGCATTCATATTGTTGAATCATGTAATGGAAGTGATTCCCATTTGTGGATTGTTTATATTTCCCAGGGTATTCATAACATTACTGCGTTCAGCCACATAGAAGTGTTTAATTGCAGTCTGTCTGTTTCATTTGGAAAGTATCTGGCAGAGAAAGATATGGGCTCCGTAAAGGAAAATGGAGTTGCTTGGTGGCAGCAGCAGTAGGAAGAACATACCCTAAATTCACTGACATGATCCACTCTCCTCCAACTTTGCTTTGGCACAGTATCCATTAATTCTTCAAGGTGTGTGGAATGTTCACAACCGACTACAAAGCTTATGCTTGACTTCCATTCTTAAGAACCTATGAAATGTCTACCCATGATCCAATGATTACATCATACTAACACCTAGGCTAGAGAGGAAGTTAGGCCAGTTGTTTTGCCCTTCTCCACAGAAAGAAAGCAGTAGCATTAGAGGCACATAGGTCTGCCAAAGTGTACAGTCATCTAGTGCCAATATACAAATTTTCATCTCCAAAGAAGAACAGAAGAGAATAGTTAGGCATGATTCATAAACTAGAATTGGGTTTCTTTCCACATGATGCAAGGGCCATAGCAGAGAACTTACTGATGATGTGCTGAATGAGGCACAATGCAATGATACTGCTGCATGCCAGGTAACAGGAGCCTGACCTGTTGCATTACAAAGCAAAGCAGGATGCTCTGCTTACAACAACAACAACGTCTATGAGCTGCATCTTCAACATATCAAGATTTTAGAATTAAGCATCATGAGAATATTAGATTTTTCTTTTTACTTGAAATTGGTTTATGGTTGTTTGTGTGTGTGTTTATTGTTGGATTGCTTCAAGATGCTTTATGTTGTATTGTTTTACTGTTGTTAGCTGCTCTGAGCCCGGCTTTGGCTGTGGAAGGGCGGGATATAAATAAAATGTTATTATTATTATTATTATTATTATTATTATTATGCCTAGAAAACAATTCATAAGTGAAATAAATAATATCTGCTGGTGACATCTCAGAAACTAGAGAAGAGCCTCAGACAGACTTCCAGAGTTGTGATAATATAATATAGGTTA